CAGCAGGGAACCCTTTTCCCTTCCGGCGCTTCCCCATCCTTTGCTCAGGGTGCATCCCAGACACTGCCCAGTTATTAAACTTTTATACACGGTTTATTGGAATGGGGAAATTGGGGTCTTGGGTGACCTCCGGGGCTGGGTGACGGCGTGGGAGCGGCGACGTGCCAGCGTGTGCCGCCTGCCGTGTTCAGGGCCGGCGGCAGAGAGCGGTGTTTCTTCACGAGTGGGAAGGAAGGGAAGGAGCAGCCTCTCGCCTTCCAGCACCGCGCTTTTCTCTCCTTACCTGGGAACTAAACTCGCCCAAAGCCACGCTTCCGTCCGCTCCTGATAGCGGTAAACCGGGGTGCCCCCTTACCGGCGGGATCCCGCTGCCCCATAGCACAGATGACAGCCCAGATGTCACGTTTTCTAATTCAGAACTTTTGTTTCCACCTCCTCCAGTGCTGCAGATGAAATGTAGCACCGATTAGAGCCGTGCTCCTTCATTTATTTAAATCAGTAGCGGTATACGAGGCGCATTGATGCGTGCATTTCTTCCACGGGTGTTTTAATTGCCGGCTCAACCCTTGCTATTTCGAAGAGGGATGGAGAAAAAAAACTATGGTAGAGAGTGCTGCAACGAGAAAAATGTGATGCTGCTCCACACCTTACCAGATGCTGGGTGGATCTGCCTTTCCCAACACCATCCCTATGCCTGCAGGCTTCCTGGGTGTTTGGCGTGCGGTTGGGAGCGGTTGGCAGGAGCTTTGGGATGTTAGGGGGCTGCATCTCCCAGCCTCTCTGCAGTTACTGAATTGCATTGCCCGTCCCCTTCAGCCTGCCCTGCCAGCTCACCAACCTCCCCGGAGGAGGAAGACGCGTGGGCAGGGGACGAGGTCCGCACACGTGGCCGGTCAAGGTGACCCCCGTGCCGCATCGTTCTCGTAGGGTTTAAGGGAGAGGAACACACTGTCGCAAACCGCTGTTAGCGTTCACGGAACGGCGAGCTTGGTTTTACAAGGGATTTACTTTAAAGGCTTTCTGTGTCTTTGCAAAGTGAGGCATGGGTCTGCAGCCAGCGGTCATTATTTCAACGTTTTGCAATAAAAGATAATAGAATAACGATTTATTTCCCTGGGTTGATGCCGTAATGTCTCTCTCTGTTATCCCATCCTGACAGCCTGCTATTACAGTAAGCGTTTTCCCTGGGACACCGTGGTAATGAGTTTTTAATAGAAAGATTAACCTAGCTTTAAATCCTGTCCTGGGGAAGTGACCTGTGTCCCGTTCCCTCCTGCCCTCGGATCCGGGTCACCCCCATCTCCCTTCCCCGCGGCAGGAGGGTTTCCAGCTCCTTTGGCTTTCCCAGCGCAGGGCTTGCTGTAGTGCTGTAGGTCAGGGGCGCGTCAAAGCCCTGCTCTTAAGGGGTCTGCAGCCTGCGAGTTACACTGGAAAATGGGTGTTAGTAACAAAAAAAAAAGGAAAAAAAAAAATTAATGACATTTAAGATTTAAGGAGGTTGAGATTTCTGAGCGGTGCCAGAGGTCGTTTGCTATGAACTGCTATCTGGAAGTTTTAATGGATGTTCTGGTTGCACTGCTGGCTGTCCAAATGCAACAGCTGCAGCCCCAGCCCGCTCTGAAAAACCCTTTCTCTGTCCTTTCCCATCCCAGACCGTTTACTTTCACACCTCCTTGAACCACCCCGGCATCGCCGTCGTCGTGGAAGTGGTGGTGACGACCGAGAAAGGGGATGGGAACTCTCAGCATCTTTCCTGCGGTTTTGGAGTCATCCCCCTCTTCAGCAGCGGGTCGAAGGCGATGGACCCGGCCACCGAGGACAGGGCGTACGTCTCTCCGCTGCCATGTGATGGGAAATGCTGGGAATTGGGGTAGCAATGGGCACGGCTGCTTTGAGGGGGGAGAAAGGGTGGTCCCGGGGCTGCAGAAGCAAAGCCAGGATTTAGAAGCCTAGAATTCTTCACTGCTGGGGAGGCAGCGATGGGTTTGTAAGTGATGCCTGCCCTTTCCCTAAAGGAAAGGGGTTTTGCTGTGGGTACAGAGTTAGAAGGTGGTTTCTTACTGTTGAGCAGAGGCATTGGGGAAGACAAAGATGTGCTTCAGGGTGGATTTACTGACCGCTGCATGTGTGCTCTTTGCTTTCAGACTGAAGCTGTACCACGGGACGCCGCATGCCCTGCTGCACCCGCGCTTCCAGGACCCCGTGGAAAGTAAGCAGCAGCAAGACATTGCGTCTCGCTCCTTTCTTGGTGGTCTCTCTTATCCAAATGAGTGTCGTGTGTGTGTCCGGTCGATGCGATACATGATCCGAGCCCTTGTAGTGCTACGCGGACGTGCCTTACTGCCAGCTGGGAAAAGCCTGGCTAGGCAGGTCCAGGTTTTCCTTTGCTCCCAACACGTGCGTTTATGGATAATAGTTTCTTCAACAGTGGCGTTGCAAAGCTGTCTCCCCGGTTTTGGTGATTTTTGGGATGTTTTTTCTTCTTCAGAGAACAAATACCTGACAGTGATGGAGAAGAGCCACTTGCAGTATGCCCTGAAGCCCCACCAGCCCCTGGAGACGATATTTCACCTCCTTCCCGAAAACCTTCTGATATCTGGGCTGCAGACCATTCCCGGCTTGCTGCCGGCACGTGGAGACACGGGTAAGGGGTCCTTCCCTTTCCCTGCTGCTCCTCCTGAAGGCGGCAGGTCCCCGGGGAGGCTGCAGCCAGGGTGCTGGCATGGGCTTTCTGGGAGCACCTATGGGTTCTCTGCAGTCCTGCCCCTTGGCAAGAGCATCTCCCCTGCACGGGCCGACGGGGCTGCAACATTTATAGCTCAGCCTGAAAGATATGGCTTCAGTCTGTTCCCTGTCCCTTAATTGCTTCACTCCTGGGAAGCTGCTAGGGATAAGAGATGGTTGGTTTAATTACAGTTGTTCAGCGGAGTCTTAGGAGAAGCCCTTGCAGCTTGTTTAAAGTTCTCCTTCTCTGTAGCGGGGCTCGGGATCACTGGGGGTCTGGCAGGTTCGGGGGGTACAAGCTCTTGCACACTCAGCCCTTGTTAATCTTCCCCTGTGGGTCGCAGCCTTGCTGTTCGAGCTGCTGCAATTAAAATTATATGATCTGAAGATTCAGAGGGTAAAAAGTACTCTCAGTTCTGCAGCTGAATTATTCTTCAGCTTACTGCCTGGAAAGCCCTGCTGCTAACCACTTTTGGGGTTGTGACTGTTAGTGTTAAAGCCGAGCGATGTCTCCAAAGCAGCTGGTGCTGCTAAGACCATTGCTCGAAAGCAGAAAAGGAGAGAGCCAGCATCTTGCACCACAGGGCACCTCAGTGCAATAGTGGTGGTGGCTTTATTAAATCAATAGATTGCATCCATTGACACCGCAGGCGCTGGGTATTTCTGGGTCTCTCCCGGGTGTAAAGGCATGTGTGTGCCAGGGAAGTTGAGTAAAGCAGGA